TTATGCACCAATTTGAAACTTTGAAATTACTAGATATCATTCTTATATTTTTATCCTATACACAGGCCCGGATTTAGAAATTTAGCTCCTTGGGGCACTGACAAAAATGCCGCTCCATCCCTGAAATTTTACTTAAATAGTTTTTATTTATCATTTTTCTAAAATTGCAGAATATTTATTACGCATTACGTACTATAAATAGTAGTGCTTGGTATCGAGCCTTAAGGCTGGAAAATCCCTACCGAAAATTAAAATTGAAAAAAAATTTTTTTTTTGAAAACTATGAAATTTTTTTTGGAAAATTTTGAATTTTTTATATTTTGAAATATTTTGGAAATTTGGAACTTTTTGTAGAAGCAATCGCGCTGCTTTTACCAACAATAATTTTATTAAAATAATAAATTTTAATAATCGGTTATTTGAACCTAAATTTTGCATTGCAATCTTATTATGTTTTGTTAATTAATTTCTTGAAATAAAATATGTTATTAAAAAAATAGATTCATTTCTATAATTTTATATTGTAAACTTTGCATATGAAAAGTTTACTTTTGCCAGAAAATCCGATTTGCAAATTTTGTTTTTTTTTGCCGTTTCTAGTCGTTCTGAATCGTTTGACACAAATTAGCAAATATATATTTTTTATTCAATTTTATTCTGCAATCTGTATATTATTACATTAAGGATTAAGGAAAGTATGCTGACAAATATATTGTAAAACAAAGTTGATTACAAAATAGTAGATATACCCATCTGCTAAAAAATTAGCAGATAAATGTATGCTTTGAATTGTAAGAAATCATCAGTTTCGATAATAATTGGCCTCGTCAATAGGTCAAAATTCTATCGTCACAATTTTAAAAATTGGTGAATCAGTAATTGTATTGACTGTCAATATTTACACATATGGTTGAATTCAAGCAATATACGTTAAAGCTATTTACTATAATATACGTATTTACTACAATATACGTTAATGACATTTACTGTAATATTTTTAGTTTTTCATAATCTCATATTAATAATATATACATATCCTGATGTTTTCACAATTTGTTTTGATATAAATAACTACTAACGCTACGTAAATTAAATATGAGACAAAGTTTATTAATATTGCATATAAAAAAGCAAATGTGGAATGACTACGACACTAATGAAAAACAGGTCATTGAGAGTTTTAATTAAAATACATGATTTTATACAGTTTCTACAATTCGGCTTAAAAAGCAATAAATCAAATACTGCTAAATATTAATTAATTGCTTTTTATATATTTTATTCATATAGTTTCTATAAATGTACAACTGTTTGATATTTGTGGTATAATTATTCGAAATCCTTTGACTGAAATTTGTAACTTCCCGTGGGGTAAGTTATAGTAATAGCAAAAAATCGAAAATAAACATTTTTATATATCTTTACGTTTTAGAGGTTTCTGAACATTTTGGCATACCTTAGAAAAAATTGATGTGTGTGTGTGTGTGCGGATACAAATTTTCGCAAAAAGTGCCGCAAACGGTAACTCAGTTTTTAAGAGAACGGAGTGTCCGATTTTAATAATTCAAATATCATTTTACTTGTGTTGACAAGATAAATAAATGATTAAATTTTTATGAAGGCAGGTCTAGCGGTTTCGGAGATCTAGTAAAAAAATGATTATTAGAAATATGCACATAAAATTATCAGATATTTTATAGAGATTTTAACAATAAGTATAAATTTTGTTTACATTCCTATGGGTTCCGTACCAATGTTTATCCGTTAGACGGCGACACGGCGCGTATGGGCTTCATTACTTTGTCTCTATGCAGTTAAAGCAGTACGATTGCTTTGAAAAAAAGTTCAGAAATTCCAAAAAAAAGAATACATTTTTTTTCAAAAAGCCTTTTTCCAAAAAAAAAAAATTTTTTTTTCGAACATTTATAGTTTCTCAAAAATTCAATTTTTTCAAAGTAAATTTTTTTCAAAAATTTTAATCTTTTTAAAAAAAAATAATTTTTGGTACGGGAAGTTCCAGCAATTTGCCTTAAGGCAAGATGCCATGCGCCCCACTAGTTTTATAAATATTTTATCTTGTACAATTATATAATTAGATATAGAATACGAAATTAAAATGTAATATTGCTGGAAATAATATTTTTTCTATAATTATCAGATCAGTGTTTTTCTGCTGCATATATTCAAAAATTAGACAAAAAAACTGTAATAATATATATTAATTATATTTAATATCTAATTGCGAATATTTTACCTGAATTTATTACTAGCCTTTGTATGAACTTCTGTAAAAACGTAGAAGAGAACAACGTTGCGTAGCCTCAGGCGGAATTTGGATCGGTGTACGGAATAAAAATGAGCTTTATAATAGAATATTAATTAAATACCTGGAAATATAATACATGGTGTAAGCTTATTGTAAATTTTTGACAGCAATCTTGTATAATTACTATATGCAAGCTACCGATAATATTCCTCTAATATGAGCCAAAAATTATATCTGCTAAATGAAAATCTTTTGTTATCTTTTATTATATGTCGCATTTATTTTATTATAATTATAAATATGATATTTTTCTAAAAGCTATGATCAACAATCATAACTACAATCATAATAGAAAAGGCGAATTCTTTTTATTGAACAATATTTTAACAGATTTTCATAGCCATTGGTGTTGCCGTTAAGAATTGAGAGAGTTTTTGGAATCATTTTACTTTTTGGGCTCGCCCGAAGGTAAGCGGTTAAGAGCGACGGGACCTGAATCAGAATCAGAATCGATACACACTTCGAGCAGCCTGTTGTCAGGCAGCAGTGACAACGATTTTCACTTGAAAATATAGATAGCAATATGTTTCCAAGTGAAAATAGCCCTCACCCGGCATTGCTGCACCAATAAAAAGTTAGCCCTATTAGATTAATTCTAATAACAAAATCATCAAATACGGATGGATTAGCCATTGGATTACCATCTAAAAAAATACGAAGTAAGGAGAAGTTTCAGCCCAACAGCTTATAGGACGTAAGGTTCTGATTGCTGTTAAAAAAAATTTACTTTTTGTCTAATCAAACTACTATTCGTAGACCTATAATAAGTTATAATGAAGAAAATGAACCTTGACATCATGTATACATAGTTCCATCAAAATCTTTACCAATTTAATTTCATTTGAAAACAATTCACCATTTTTTTTGCGAAGAAACGACCCAACTGATCACTATCAAAAACTATAATCAGCACGATTTCAAACTGATATCTTTCAAATGATTTTTTTAATTTTTTTAATACGGTTTTAGATTTTTTCCAAAAACGTGAATGAAATTGATTGGCCAAACGTTTCGCAATACTAATCAACTAAGGGTCGTCTATTAATAACGCGAAGCTTAAATGGGGGGGGGGGAAGAGTTTGATAAAAATCTATAAAATGTAAATATCACGTGTATTTATATTTTACACGAATTTAAAATCTCATTAACAGATTTTTTCTAGGTACTAAAAATACACTTGATAAATAGCTAATCAGATTTTTTTGAATAACCAACTTTATTAACAGAAAACAGTTCTGCCAAAGTAACGAGCCAAACTCAACGATGAATCATATTTGAAACTTATCAATGATTTAAATAGTCTAAAATAACTTAAATTTAAAAAAAAGTTCGAAGTTTTTCAAATTCAAAAATCACTTTATGGTTTATTTCAACATTTGATAATTTTTGCAAGCGATCGTTACCGTAATCTAATGTACGTTAATTTATAATATAAAACATTTTAGAGAAAATAATTGAAAAATACCTTTTCTAGTGTACCTTTTACCTATATTGTGCCGAAATGTTCGGAATGTCTCTTCTCGATGTTTTGGATCACCTGGAATTTTAGGATGACATTTTTTCAGTAATTTAAATTAACTTTTCAGAAACGTTTGGGGGTACTAATTGTTTGGTGGATTATGTGAAACATTTTCATTCTAAACTCATTTATTAACTTTAGAGATAATAAAGTTTTATAAAAAAATGATTTTGCCTAACTATTAAATTGTTTCCTCATCAATTCAAGTACATATATAATTTTACATAAATCAATTTATCTGTCTTTGATATGAATCAGACATATTTCGCTTCAACTGTCAATGGAAAATTAATAATTACAGAAGCAAGGTACATCAATATAAGGAGATAATTATATAATTTTTAGTGATCTTCAAATATTATTCTATTATTCTATACATATCTCAAAAAGCAGTTTGAAAAGGCATTTCATATATGTGTTTTCTTTAATACATGTGAAACGACTTTTCAGTAATCCGTGCCAAATAAAAACATTAAGTTCAATGTTCTCTTCATAGAAGCTTATTTAGTTCATTCATAAAACTTATCGCAAGTTAATTTTTTGATCGTGTTTAGTTTTTTTTATTGCCTATTTTATTTGGCATTATATATTTAACAAATATTTATATTATTTTTTTGCATAGTTATTAATTTTATTAAAATATATTAAGAGTATACAAATAAATATGATTATATTTGTTTGTTTTTTATATCTGTTGCGGTTATTTCTATTTCTAGCCTATTATTTCTAATTGTATTTTGTTTTCTCATTAATTTTGATTGTTATAACTACTTACTGATAAATAAACAATAAGTATCATATCAGAAGACTTATGATATCTATAAAGATCTTATTATGATAACTATAAGGAACACTATAGACCTCATTACATTCACATTAAATTCAAATTGTTATTGCTTATTTATTGTCACCTCAAATCTTTTGATTTTAATAAATTTATTATTAAATATAGCTCATATACTATTGCGATAATTGTCATTGATTGAAAAGTCAGTAAGGCTTAGTTATCATTATTTATGTTTCATTAGTTTTTGGACTAAATATATTTAATACCTAAGTATAATAATGTTTGCTTTTTTGTATTGCAGGTTTGTGCGCTTTTTTCGAAGATTATTGCTAAATATGTAGCAGGGGATTAAGAATAATCTTTACAACATGGCTCTGAGAATGGAATCAATACATGTGCATCATGTTGAGAGTCCTCGAAATACAATTTTAACAATCACAGATAATATCGGTTCATCAGATATTTTAGCAAGCGAAGAAACAAAGTTTATATCGAAGTGCGCCGAATTTAAGGATGACAGTTTTGCTGAATTAAAGGAGCTATGTATGTTTTCTAAATTGAATTCGGATATTAGTCGCGATGCTCCTATCGCTTATATTGACGAAGAGTTGAGTGGTAGTGAACATGGTTCGCTGGAAACAACGAGCAATGATGTCATAGCAGACTGTACGCACAAGCGCGTGGGTGTACCTCAACCAGAGAGTGCAAATATTTTGGCAAATGCGAACAACAACGATGAAGAATCCAATGATTGTTCATTGCATTCAAATGATTCAGGTGAAGAAGACACATCGTTTGCGAAAACGTCGTCCGGTGATTATCCTGTCGACGATGCAACTTACGATATTTCGACTGTTAGCAGCATGGAGAGTCCTGTGGAAAATCCGAATGCGGAAAGTTTGACTGTAACTGAAGAGGCCGCGCGTCGGTTCGAATCGATCGAATCCCCACCTCGCGGCGGCGCGTCTCCGGCGCATTCCCCGCTGATCGCACCGGAGACGACGCCGTCGCTCGCCGCCGCGGACGGTGCATGCGACGGGCTTCAGTGCCGCAGCAAGCCGACGCGAGTTGACATCACGCTGCACGCGTGTCGAGAGCACGTGTCGCGAGTACACGATCACGCTGTCATCTGTCCTGAAGAAGAACAAGGGACAGACCAGTGCAAAGACGACGCTCTCGACGACCAGAAGGCGTCTAATAGATTACCGATCAATACAACATTACGACGTCCGACACCCGGAGAATGGAGCCCCGTGCCGCCGCGGCATGGGGCTTCTGAAGAAAACGAGAGTGCGTCGTGCAGGTCAAGGCCGAAACCACCCTCAAATTCGCAACGGCAACAAGAAGAAACGATTTGTGACACAATCAAGGAACTAGAGTCTACATTAGATGCCACTGTTTATGATCCTTGGAAGAGTGCAACACGACATGAATACAGTCCTACTACTATCAGTTTTGAAAGTAGTAGCAGATTAAAACGTCTAGAAGAACGCTTGAATAGCAGGAAACAAATACCTGTGATAGGCAATGCTAGTACACAAACCGAAGATACCAGTACAAAATTACCTGACATAGAATTAATCCCTCCTCCTCCGCCTCCAAAGGAATACGCTGGTGGTGATAACTCCGAGGAAACTTTTGAAGAATCACATGTTCCCTGCGTGATAACAGCTGATCAAGTTCTGATCGGCGACGTTTATACTAATTGCGAATTTGATGCTCGCGAAATCAACAACTATGAATTGCCATTGGACGAAGATTCTTATTACGAATGTTATGATGAACTAGGGGAAGAAGAAGAGGAAGAAGTCAATCCTGAAGAAAAGCAGGGTGACAACGCGGAGTGTGAAAGTCAGCATCAGCTGAGTAGTGTAGTGAAGTGCAAGTCGGAAGCCGGCGATGCGCGGCGTGGTGACGAGATGGTGCATAATCGTGACCATGGTAACTTACGGAGTCTGCTGAAGAAGGCCGGCTCTAGTGGTAGTAGTGCTTCTAGTGTTAGCGGCAGTAGTGGTGCATCGCGCACTAAGCGCCGCGTAGTGTTCGATGAAAAACGAAATGAGTTTTTTGACGCGGATTATATTATATTGATACGTGAAGATTGTGCAGAGTGTAGATATGATGAAGACGACGAAGATGGACAGTGTTCGTGCACGTGCGGTGACCACGAACCGTTGCCACAATGCCCGGGATGTTGCGAAGACCACTGCGATTATGACGATCACTGCTCTCAAACGCCGCAGGTGAGTTTACCACCACCCTCTTAGGTCGGGCATATACATGAGAATACGTGAAAATAGCACTCAAATTAAATCTCTAAGATATATTCCTGTATTATGCGACTTCTTTGGATTACAGGAGGGATTCCGTGTGTTTTTTGCGCATTCAACTTGTATGTTATAGCCGTTTTCTTTTTAATAATCACAATTTATCACGCGCTTTATATATAGGGCGAGATATTATGTGCATGCATATACTTGTCCATACACACACTATTCATATTTATATATTTATAAATGTATGTGTGCGTGTGTTTATATCTCTGCGTAATTTCAAAATTAGTTTTATTGTTAATTAGTGTCAAAACTAATTTATCTATGTATATATATGTTCGAGACGTGAATAGGTAACCAATTTTTTCAATAAAATTATCCATATATATATATATATATATATATATATATATATATATTCGTGAAATCATTTTAAAATCTCTGTTTGTTGTTTTTAAAAGGGTAAAATTAGTGAAATTAAAAAAAAATCTCGTCAAGTAACAACGATAAACTCATATAATATATATGTGATTAGACTGCCTATTTTCATAACTGACTTGACTAACTGACTAACTAATTAATATTAATATATTTGCATTATTAGGAATTATTTTCTAAGTCCTCTCAAAGCACAGGTGCGCAAGGTACCATCACATGTGTCAACGCGGTACCGGATATTTCCGTTTGTTTCGCATTGTATTGAGAGGGGAATGAATGTTCAATAATAGATGATGAACCAGCTCAATACATCATTACTCAATTAATTCATACATACAAATAACACAGATACAGACACACATATATGTGCGTGCGTGTGTGTGTATGTGTAATTTCTACATTTTAGGATTTGTCAGGTTATTTACATAAATCTGATATATAAGGAAATGTACCTCATTTTTCTATTAGGGATGGAATTTAAGCTAGTTGTGAGTGGCGTTTTGACTTAAGGCAGGTTTCGTGAACTTCTCGTTTACGGTAATTTAGGTAAAGTTATAAGGTGTTTGTTCCGAAAATAAACCTGTTGTTTCGCTAAAAGCTAATCAATTTTCATTTATGTTTTAAACAACTTATAAGTCCAAGGCTATCTACGCGTTCACAATTATTTTTCAATTATCCTACTCATAAATCTAATTCTCTCTTAAATTCGCCTATTTCACTTATGTTCTCTAACTTCAACTTAATTAATGATGAAATAGATATTCACAACACTTCACCTAATTAAATAATCTTCATCTGCTCAAGTTAACCTTTTTATTTTCTTTTCAAATATCTTATTCTGTATAAATTATTGTTACATTCTGTATCATATATATTGTAATTTTGTATATATTTTAATTGTTATTAATTATGTAAAAATTGTATTTTTGAGTCCTCTTGGAAGAAATCTGTGGGCTATATATTTAAAAATAAATAAATAATATCCATGATTTTTATAATTGCAGCGCATAAATACGTACTTGTTGTCCTAACAGCGCAGCCCATTATTCCCAATTTTGAATAATTTATATATTTCAACCGATTTTTGTAGGTATCAACTTGTTTAGAGTGCTTGTAATGCTTGAAGTCTGTCGTCATGTAAAATTTCTCTGCAAATATGATTTTTACATTTAATTATATAGAAACGTCCCGATTTTCGACACAAACTAATAAACATTTATTCAATGTTCAATATCGTTTCAGCGTTTTTTACGCCAACGAGGACAATTTTCTACTAATTCTAAAGAAATGACTCGATCGATCGTCTTGCAAACCTAATCCAGTTTACCCCTGCTTGAGTTTTATTGAATGGCTTTTAATTTTTTGAAATCGGTTTGCTTGATTTCGAGAAAACTTTGACAAAAATCAATTTTTTTCTCATCACATCTCAAAAGTGATTTGACAGAGCATATTTTATCAAATCTTGATATTTTTTTTTAAAATAAACCACTTATCGTAGGGTCACAACTCACAATAGATACTTTAGTATGTTTTAAAGAAAATCGCCAAAAAAAGTTTCATAAAAATTGGCAAAAAATATTTTTCAACAATTAATTATGAAGACACGGCTCGCCTGAACGTTACCATAAACTAATCAGCGATTTTCAACTAATATCTTTGGAACAGTTTTTGAATTTCTACAAATCGATTAAGAATTATAGGCTGAAACGTGGACATATAATGTATATTTATAATTTGGACATTTTTGCTGTTCATAAAAAATACGCTAGTCCTTACCTCGTTACATAGAATGGCTTTTAAATTTTTGAAATTGGTTCAATCGTTTTTGACTTTAAATACGTCGACGAAAGATGGATGATCGGCGTACATACACACATAATTTTTCCAAAGGTCAAAATGGCTTCAAACTTCGAGAAAACTTAAAATTATCGGAATTTCTTCGGGAGGTATTAAGAAAACATATGTTCAAAACAACAGGCTTTCGTTTTGATATGCAGACATTGAAATCAGGCCGAGCAAACATTTTTTGCAATTAATTACAAAGAAAAAAATATCGAAAAAGATAATAAGATTTGCTTTCAAATGACCGGTCATACAAAATCTATATTTTTCAGTATTCAATGAAGAGTTAATGCTAGTTTAGGAGTTTATAAATACAAATACAAAATACTTATTTTATTTTAGAATGAAAAATATACATTTTATTCTGTTTTATCCAATTTTTTACGATTTTTTTTCTTAGAGTGTATTTTCTGCACACGCATTTTTTACGTTTTTGGCTCATTTTGTTCGCCCTATCATCTTTCTAAAACATTATCTGAAATATTTTCTTTTAGAAAATCTGTCTTATACTTGTACTTAGTTGATTTTTTTCTGAATTTTTGTTGGAACTACACGGCAAGTTAATTGGAATAGAAAATTTCTGTCTGGTACATCGTCTTCCCGTAATTTATTTATGTGAAAACAATATATTTATCCTGAATAAATACAAAATAATGTAAATTCTTAATAAATTCTCTCTAAAATTCATATTTTACCGAATGATTTCTGACTACTTTATGAATGACATCTGCACCAAACACGATGCCAATTCCAATTGAATTGACTCCCGTATTAGAGTAATTTGTTCAACATATGTGTATGTAAGTGAAAATTAGAATCTTCTTTCTAGCTTCCAAAATTGTTAATATTATTTGAGTCCTTGATTTTTAGTTTTACCCGTATTTGTAGCTGTTATATTGCTTCAATTGTACCTACCATCACAGTTTTTTTTACTAGAAGTTTAGCTATAAGTAGGGTGGTAAAAACGTTTAATTTTTTTACATCGTACTAGCGATTTTGATAATACGGTTTCATTGGTTATAAATCTTCAAAGAAATTCTCAGGTTTCTACGTATACTGGATAGTTATCAAAATTTTACACCCCATTTGTGCGATTTGCTGTGCATAATTATATTTATATCATATATTGAACAGTTACTAAAATTTTATACTATGTTTTCCTGAATATTACTGAACATGTGCTGAATAATTTTACACCTTACTTTTATTGAAAATGTATGTTTGTCGATAGTAATACGTGATCTCTTACAACAATTTTGATTGCTTTCAATGTAGTTGAACCAACCTTTGGATTCAAAACTAAACCTATCAATTTGTTGTTTGGATTCCTTCGTAAAAATCTGTCTACAAATGGACATTGAGCAAAAATGAGAAAATCCACTTTTTATACCGTAGAAGTGCAATATTTATACGCCTTGCCTTATATGCGCAGCGTGCATACAGAATTGGAAAAAATGCACATAAATTTGCAGAAGGCAGTTTTTAGCACTCTAAATTCTTCTAAATTTACATTTTCTTGTAAGTTTGATCATATTCTTAACAATTACGACAAAAAATGCCGTCCGATCATAGTCTTTCGTACTACCGGTCAAATGACCGGTCGCGGTAGGTAAGACAGTATACAATTTTTTTTCCAAAATTAAAATTTGAAAATACAAATTAACATTGAAAAATGTATCATACCTACATATTAGGAAAAGTCATAAAGTTTGATGACGATTCAATTACGTTTGATATGAAAAATACTAATCAAAAAATCAAAAACGGTCATTTGACCGGTCCCGGTAAGAATAGTGTTGAAAGATATTTATTTATTGATTACTTCAATGATTAATACATCAATTTAATCAAAATTTGTAACGAAGTGATGTCACATCGGTTCCGTGGTGTAGTGGTCGGTGTATCACATCTGCTTTACACGCAGAAGGCCGCCGGTTCGATCCCGGCCGGATCATATTTTTTCTTGCAAAATAACCGTTCTGTAAGCAGTTGTGATGATCTGGCTTACCTAACTGCGTCAGTTTATAAAAATGGCAAGCCAAAAATTTATTTGACCTTCTTTAACTGGTGAACTTTTTGTTGATGCAGCAATTTCTGGTAAAAGGCTATTTATACTTGTAAACAATTATTGGTATCTATATTTCCAAGTAAAAGCCGATGTCACTACTCTTGACATCGGATGGAGGTATGGAACCTGCGTTTTCTGAGTTTCATTGCACTAGCAACTAACCCATGGGGTAGCCTTTGCTCAAAGGTGTAAACCTAAATGAAAAGTAACTTCATTCAAACGAATATTAAACTAATTGTAAGCAAGATATTAACTTATGTCGACACGTTTTGAATATTATCGATTTTATATCATACATGATTTTGGAGCCAATTCTCGAATAAAATAGAAATATTATGTTATGGGACTATAATCATTTGAGTTGGCAGTCACAAACTCACAAAAAGCTATGTATTTTCAGGTGTTTTACACATAAAACCTAATCTCCAAAAATCACAAATGTCAATTAACATTTTTATAGGTGCCACTTTTTGAAGTTAATTTGATACATAAAGTCTAACCAAAGTTATTATTTTGTTGTTTGTATCTTTAAGAGGTTAGGTTTTGTATGAAAGGCTTGTTCGCACAGTAAATTTTTTTAAAAAATTTATATACAGTAGAACCTCGATTATCCGGACCTCGG